TTCCCGGAAGTCGGCAGAAATTCCTACTCAGCAGGCGGGGTGTGGGAGGTACTGTGGAGTGGTGGGGGGGTGGCCTGAGGGGGTGGTTGAGTGTCCGGCCCATGCTGCTCCAGGGCTGGGACTGGTCCCACTGGCACAGGGTAGCAGGAAGCTCCCCACACACTCACTGGACCTGGGCTAGGGCTCCCAAATTTTCCGATAAGGAGATTATGGGGCCAAGAGGAAAGTAATCAATCATGTAGAGTGTGCCTAAGGAGAGTCACATGGAGAGAAAACATTTTCTCAGGCTTTCACAGAGTGCAAACTGGTCAAGCAATGTCCGTGACTCATCCAGATGGCTGACACTGAAAAAGGATCTACAAACTGTAGTACAGGGTTTCAGGATAAATCCTGAGTGGATCTGACTGACCTTGGAAGACACAAAAGTTATATTTCTTATTATATAGGTCTTGCTTTATCTTGGTCTTAGCCATATAAAAGTATAAAAGTGAGGTAGAAAAAGTAAAGTCATATTAATATGCTGAGCTGTAAAATGCTCGAGTCAACAACTTCTGACATTGTCAGTCCTATGAATAGCCCACTACTATTATGGACTACTGTACTATATTGGAATATTTTGCTGAATTCATGCACCTACAGTATTTAAATGGCAATGGAATACCCATCTCTGACAAAATTAAACAAAAAAAAGGATATAAATAAGGACCATTTTGTATCTGTATATACAAAATCCTTAGGATAGATAAATAGCTACTCTCTTTTAATTCAATTAGAAGGAAGATTTGTACTAATAGGGTTTGGACAAAATATCATGTCTGCGATTTTGTGGATGAAGCCAGAAGGTGGTCGGGTCCGGAGACGCGAAGGTGGCCGGTAGCTGACGCGTCGGACCTCGTGGGCTGTGTCCAATCTGTGGCTCGTAGCTCCCTGGAAAAGGAGGCACCACAGCAGCCCGAGCCGAAGTCGCTAGGACTTCTCTCAAACTTGTGTGCTGAGGAGACTCAGATGTTGGCCTCAGCAAAGCAGCCCATGAAAACTTCTGCATTGAGACAAAGGAAAGGATCCGTCAGAAAGCAACACCTATTATCTTGGGCTTGGCAGCAAGGAAGAAGACAAGTAGTGGAAATACTGCAATCTGAAAAGCAGACGGAAAGGTGACAAAAAGGCTGAAGATGGGTGGCGGAGAGAGGTATAGCATTCCAGACCCTCAAACCAGAAAAGTTACTAAGAGCCAACAACAGCTTAATAGACAGAAAACCAAGGATCAGAATTCCCAGATGAAGATTGTTCATAAGAAAAAAGAAAGAGGACATGCCTATAACTCAACAGCTGCAAGGCAGGCCCTGCAGAATGGGGGGAAGAACAAGAATTTTCCAAATAACCAAAATTGGAGCTCTAGCTTATCAAGTCCCAGCTTGCTTTTTAAGTCTCCAGGTAATCAAAACTATGCTGGAGCCAAATTTAGTGAGCCGCCATCGCCAAGTGTTCTTCCAAAGCCACCGAGCCACTGGGTTCCTGTGTCCTTTAACCCTTCAGATAAGGAAATAATGACCTTTCAACTTAAAACCTTACTGAAAGTACAGGTATAAAGATGCTTAAATTTAGTTACGTTTACAAATAGTGCTTAACTGGTCTGATAGAAAGTTACTAGAGAATCTTTGTAAAGCTGATGATGTAAAGCTGTAATTGGACTTCAGCTCATTTGTGTTGTGTGCACTGTGATGGAGTAAGATCAGTGCAACTTAGAATAACTAATTGTGCTTGATAATGTTCTCAGACTCACAGTTTAGATTTGAGAAATCAACTTTTTGTTTGACTCATGGATCAAATTTACTTGAAGTAATGCAGATTGTAAGCATCTAAGCTGACACGAGTTTGAAAACCAGGCGGACATCTCAAAGTTTATCTCAATAAACCAGTAACACATTGACATCCTAATGAACTGCCAAAAGAAAATGTAAATTTTTCTTAATAGCTGCATTTTGCTAAATTGTACAGTGGTAAATGTGTAAAGGGCACTTGGGACTTACTACAA